CAACAATAGGATTCGGCGACTACGTTGCCTTACAAGACAGCCGAGAGACGCGCTTTGATCATACATACGTGGGTATCTCTCTTCTTTTTATTTTCTTTGGACTGACAATTGTAGGCTCCGTAATGAATCAGTTGGCATTGAGGCTGTTAACGGCAAGTCAAACCAAAGAAACGACAGACCAACTTTTGGTGGAGGGACCGTGTTTATGCGAAAAATGCAGTCGCCGGGAATCTATCGACATTTTTAATCTCTATCCGAGCGACTTATCGACCACACTTCTAAAAAATTACGAGGAAGAGATTGCATTTACAACGTACAAAGGCCTTCATAGGAAGCGCGCCTCAATTTAACTAAAGTCTTCGTGTGATTCATTCCACACAAGCGGTAACTTTAAATTAAGCCGCTCGTTTTATTAATCAAACTGGTAAGAAAAACTTTCACGAAATAGAATATTTTTCGACTATGTAAATTATAGAACTCATTTCTTAGTTTGGTCTACGAACACCGCTTGTTTTTTTAGTTATCAGTAGCGTCGCGAGCGAGCCAAAATAGGTATGGGAGTTACTTTATTGATAAGCTCGCTCGTTCGGCGTCGGAAAGCCATGCTAGAGCCGTTTGAGAGATAAACGAGGATGGACGCCAAAACATTGAAAATTTTAATTGGCTGTGTATTTTGTTGTTTGAAATGCGTTTTTCACAAAATAGCTTTCTCTTAGCCTAAAACGCTGGCTAATAATTTCAAAGGCTATGGCTTGCAAAGATAAGGTTCTGAACAATTTTACAAAGTAAAATTCAATCAAACAAAATGATTCTGGTCGGTGATAGCAAAATCTACCACCTGTTACCGCGCCATGAAAGTTTAATTAATCATATCATTTGTATGCAGACAGATTTATCATATGCCAAAAGAAAAAATTTGTGTACAAGAACTCTAACAAAAACTTCACGGTAAAAATAACGGCTTTTTATGTTACCTCCGATCAGCCTAGATCGCGATTAGGGGAGTTAAAGGGGTTTTAAATACAAGTCAAATTTGTCGAAAAACGCCCGATAGTAACAAAATCGAGAGTTCTTGATGTGAATATTTTATGACCGGGATTTTTCGCATGAATCACTTCTCCGACGAACAGAAAGGGAATTTTGTATCATTTTGTATAAGAAATGAAGTATTTGCTGTTCCAATTTCACTACCAAAAACGTGGACCACTCAACGTGATTCTACATTTGCTAGTGTATATAAAATTACCCTCCAATCGATGTTTGTAAAATATATTTTTTATAGTACACCAGAAAAATGCTAGAGTGTTTTCACACTGTAATCGAGATGCAAATATTTCGTCTACGGATGCGTTTCTTAAATACGAATCTTCTAAAATAAATTGCACACATGTATTTAAAGCGAGCTTTAGAGCGGAAAAAAAGTGAAATTAAAACTTTCTACGAAACAAAGGGTATTGTAGATTTTGTCTTAAATTTTTTTTCGCTTTTTTGTTTTTTGTTATGATCCATCGGAGGTGTAGAAAGCATAAATAGGCAGAGTTCCCGCTATGCCATTGAAATCATACGTGGCTAAATCAGCCTGTTTTGAAATTTAACATCCTCTTTAATTTATTTGAAACTCCCAAATCCAAACGAGACATACGAAACGGTTACCACTTGTTTTAAACAACGGCAAATTTCGAATTCGTCGCGCACAGAACGCTAACATACGGGAAAATTATGAATACACACAATTCCGTCAACAAAAACCCAACAGGACGCTGAAAGCATTTTCTAAAAATATTTAGTACGACATGAAAAAAAGACAGGTTTTTTTTTACCTTCAAATTACAAGTAGTGTTTTCTTTTTACTTGTGAGAACGTCAGAGATTTGTAAATAAGAAAGATGTACGTGAATATCGGCGTTTCAAACTCGAGAATTTTTTTGTCCATTGTAAACAGCTTTTCAAGACGGTCTACCGCCCTGATGAAAAACGTTAATTACACGCGTTTCTAAGCGTTCACCATGTCGCTGTGGCAACTGACATAAAATGTGTTGCACAAGAGAAAGGAGAAAAAAATAACTAATTCTCACAGAGACGAAACAATACGCTATGGTTTTTCCTGTTTAGATCTTCGAAAATTTAAAGATCGTTTCGTTAAGAAATACGCTCAAAAGTTTGATTTTAAGTGTAAAGCTAATACGTTTCAAAATTTTATACGAATTCAATTCTAGAGATGCGAACATAAACATTTTTCAATGTTTGGCCTTAGCAAAGAAACAAATGCAATCAATAGGTGTATATTTTCATCGGAAAATACGTTTAGAAAAAGGAGACATGTTTTCGTAAAATATGGTCAAATTAAACGTTGTTCAAATTGTATTTACTACGAATTTTACTGCTTCATGCTGACCGACAACTCTTAACTTTTCATCTAAACGTCTTCCCATTTTGTCGATGTCTCAGAGCGCTTTATTCTGAGCAATGTTATTTGCTATTTTGCAACATCAATTATTCATCGTCCCATTTGGAAGAACCCATGTTTTTACGTAAGAGACAAACAAAGTACATTTGAGAGACTACTTTCATTTGTAAATTTCACATGTAACGCTCGCTCGTGTTCGTGAACTTTTGTTTTGCACGCAAAACTGAGGGAATTCTTTAAAGTAACGCGTTTTGTAAAGCGAATTTCAAATACTGTGTACTATAATGAGAAAGGGTCGCATGAGGATAATAAACACAACTAAAATTATCTTGATTCTGGGTTTGCCAAAATTTTAATGCATTAAAAAAAAAAAAAACGACATAAAACCTCATGACATGCATCGTGGCTTTTTCATGAAAATTAGTACAAAAAGAAACAAAAAACAAACAAACAAAAGGGAAAGAAAACACTACTTTGACGTTGAGAATCTATTTTTTCACTGAGTTACAACGCCTCGAAATTGAATGCCAAACAGTAGATACAATTCCCGCTCCGCAGGTTTTCAAACCCTGCTCAATACAACTTCTATCGCTATTAATTACTGCTCAACCCTGTATTTACACAACTTTTCATTCCGGCTCATTAGCCAAGACCCGTTGGCATTTCTTGGATTACAGAAAAATGTCGAATGCCGCCGGATTGAGAAATTAGTTATTCATATTGCTAGGTTGCTGTCTGAAGAGATAAGACAACCCCATTCGCTTGGCCATTTTTTGAAGCTCCCACAGCGAATAAAATTCAGCATCATCATAAAATTTTCACCATAGGAAACTCGAGAAGAAAGGAAATAAATGCGTCAGCAATATTTTTTTTTGTTTTTTAAAGACAATTATCATAGTGTTGCAACTTCGGCTTTTGTTCCGTTCCTTTAAGTGAAGACGCAGCTTCACACGCGTGCATAAGTATTAGATAATTTCAGCTCTGTCTCGCAAGGGGGCAAAACAATTTCTTGTCAACTATTCTGACAAGTGGTTTGGCGAGCAGCCCTGCTGGAGGGTTGAAGATTTTGATAAATTACGTTCACAAAAGTTTGGTACATGCAATTAAACAAAATGTAAATGTACTTTGTGTCATAGGCGTGACAGCTGTAAAGTTTGACCAACGTGCACGACATGTTTTAATGGGTTCCTTTGAAAGAAAGAAAATAAAAAAATAAATTCGCGCAGGAAGAGTGCAAAAAAATATCAGAACTAAAAGAAGTTTGACGAGAAAATTAACAAAGATGTTTATCTTCCGTGCCTTCGGTTTAGGTAATCAATTCGAAAGTGTCTTAATAGAGTTCTTATTGCACCAAACGAAAAAACAGCTGGTGCTTTCAAAAAAATAAAAAAAATTGACAATAACAAAAAAAAAAAGAAGAAGAAGAAAGGAAGTCTTCTATATCTTTGAAGAACAAAGTGCTGGTAACCGTCTCGCACGAGCCTGGTTTTCTATAAATGCACGTTATTTGCACGCAACCGTTGGGATAACATTAATATTAACTTTAAAAGTCCCTGGAAAAATCACATTCGCCTGTTTAACCTTCGTTAAGGTGTATTAAAGACGAAAGAAATGAACCGTCACATGCTTTGCTCTCTTGCTTTAAATAAACTTTTATAAAGGTGACTCAGTTTTCGAGCCTTTGTTGAGACCTGTCGTTTAGGTAGAAAGAACTTAAAAATATTGCGCGCATATCAGATGAAGGCGTCGAATAAAATCTAAAGACTCGTGAAGACATACATAACAAGTTATGGTTTTCTCCGTTTTCGATGTCCTTTAGTAATTAAAACCCTTTTAGTGGCTATATTGGAAAATAATTCATCCACAGAACCCCTTTCAGTTCTTAATAAGAAAAACCATTTAAAAAATAGCGAGAAAAAAAACCATCAAAGTTCCATAAAAACCAGACAGGAGAGGTCACGCGATAAGAAAAACATCGCTTTACTTCTTATTCTCAATTAATTGCACAAAATTTTGAAAATGGATTTTTAAAAACATTCAGACGGTCTGGCGTTTTGATCAGCTCTCTTAACCAAAAGGAATTTTGGGGTACCAAACAGTAAAGAGAAGTCGATCCAAAAGGTTTACAACTCCGACCCGTAAGCAAAGTTTTTGACACAGGAATCATTGTTTAACTCCCTAATTCCCACGAGTGACAACATCCTTACAACATCACTACAATATCAAATAGACAAGGGATGGGAATATAGAAAAATATCGGTTGATCCAATACCAAATTCTTCAAACTAACTTCAAAGAATTTTAAGGGAGATAGTGAGGAGAATTACTGATGAGATCTTGAGAAACAGTTAAGAGAATTACTGATGAGATATTGGGAGTGAAAGGGTGAAGTAAACGACTTAAGCGGTTAAACTGGCGGCCTGCTCTAGAAATTAAGTTTGTTTTTGGGACTGACTTAGCTCAATTAATCGATTTTCTTAGGCAATTGAAAAAGTGATTCCTCAATACGCCGAAAGCGTCAAAGATTAGCTGATTACAACCTATTAGTCTAAGATGTTTCATTTTTTGTGTTGCACGTTATTATGGATAATAGAAGTTCGTCTTGTATCAAGATTCAATTTATTGAAAACAGTATCTTGTCACGAACGTGAAACAGAGGGAGTGTATAAAAGCCCTGGAGCTATAAAACAATTGTAAACATTCGATCTGACCCGAAATACATTTTAAGTTTAAAGCACCTTAAAAAGCAGAAACTAACTAATGAGTCGTTTTGTCTATGGTTTCTTGGGCTGAATCGTAGATAAAAGATTATAATCTATTGAAATTTTTGGGAGAATTGAGAAAGAAACATAAAAAGATAGCAACAAGATGATCTTTAGTCTTTATCCTAATTTTTATTTTCGTGGACAGTTTCTTCAAGTTGCTGTCGCAATATAGTAGACATCACCCGACAGATCTGACAAATGCATGCAATTTAAAATCATCAATAGTTTTTCATACGCTTTTAGATGAAAAACGCCTGCTAAAAAGTTGAGAAACCACAACGTGGAAGGTAATAAATTAAGCTGAGTTCCTGATAACAGACGGAAGTAAAGGCGTCATATTAACAAGAACTCCCACCAAACTAATTTGGTCCGGAGAATTCTAGGAAAAACTAAAAACAAACAAGAAGATGGCTGTCTACACGACAGACAGATTTGACCACAGAAACAGGTTTCACGAACACCTGTAACATTAAGGGCTTAAAACTATCCTATTATGAATACCACGAAAACAACAAGATAAGGTTTTGGTATCAATGAAAAGATTCCCCGCCAGAGCTTGCTAGACAATTTCCCTGTATTCTCTCGATACAAACACTTCACCACAGATGATTAGGGCTGATTTTTTATTAATATTTTTTGTCATTTTGTCGGGCAATTAAGAGATGGCGGCTACATTTTGGTGTTTCCCTAGTCGTAATACCCTTAACAATTGTGTTTTTATTTCCATACAATTTTGAAGCGCACAGATCTTATCGACACAGGCCGGGGCTTCGATATCACAAACACTGGCGAGCGACGTTGAACAAAGCATTACAAATCAGGAACGATTAACACAATTTGTAACGATGATAAAAATCAAGGTGGAGAACAATAAAAATTGTTTTTATTCATGTTTCTTAATTCCTTAATCAAAACAAAAAGAGTTCTTCGGTCTGGCAAGCAGGGCAAATATTTCATTCTTTTCTTTCGAGAACAAACATCAAACAACACTGCATCGAAAGTTCTAATTAAATCAACGACTCCCATTAACAGAAAAGAGAGGAAAAATAATACGTACCACAATAGAACGTAAATTTTTAAATAAAAGTTGCCGGCCTCTTTTTGCAGTTTTGGTTTACCCTAGCATATTTTTTTCACTAATAAAGCCTGGTTCATATTGGTAGCATCTGGCAGGAATCTATCAGACATCATCTTAATTTTCCATCATCATTTTCATGACTTTATTGCGCATTATAAAATACACATTTCATGAGCTTGTATTACATAGAGTCAGTTAATAAATTGGTCTGGGTAATATCACACGGTACACATGTTCCTGCAAAGAGCAGATGGCAGAGCAAAAACTGCTAACAACAGCGTCAAAGTATCTATGCGCTTCATAACCCCAAGACAACTTCACGTCAGTAACGAAGTAGGAGAAATACGTTTTAAAATCAGAAAAAAAGATACGCTCACCGAAAAAAGAAGTAAACATAAAGTATTCATAATAAAAGTATAAGAAATTCAAGCCAATAGTATCAAATCAAACTTGTTGGAATATAATTCCCCTCGAAAATCAGTCACAGTTTCTTTGAAAGGAGTCCTTACAAGCAATTGTTTTCGTTTAAAAGTTTTTTTTCGTTACAAACCTGGCAAGTTAGTTATAGGCGAGCGGTCTGTCAAGGAAAAATACTACATTTTTTTTTTCATCCTAAATTATGTAGAAAACTTGGCGAAAAGGTTGAAGAAAACTTGGGAGTAATAAATATGGTAGGTACCATAAAATCTGATGTTTCAATCTGTTTCATTTGCAATAACGCATTTCTAGCGTTGATAAAAAGTATATAAAACAGCTCCTTTTAAAGAAGACCTGAGACTACGAGTCCTTTTTAATTCTGAGTCTAACATGAGTCGAACAAAACCAAGAGGTGGTGACAAGAGAACAAGAGAACAAGAGAATTCTGTCGTAATATTGATGCAAAAACAAGAACGTTGTCGTTGATATCTTACAGTGAGTGAAAATGTGCCTTTCTCCCTTTAACAAGAGTTACTAGTATACAACAGTCTGTTGTAAGGTCGGTCTTTCCGCGAGTTACACACGCGTGTATTTACAAACACGCGCGTGCGGTGCGTCGTTCTTGAAGAGATCTCTCCCTAAATAGCAGTCTACGCGAGCGATGAACTGTTCAATCCATCCAGGACTTCGCACCACATCATCTTACCTATCTACAGTTCATTACCGTTATTCCTTCTCAATGGATTTCAGCGATTTAGCCACAATGACCAGAATATCTTTGGTTCGGAGCCTCCAGTTTGGAATAGCTTTGGAAACCGCGCACCAGTTCTCCCCATGATGAGGCTCGGCCAGCACGCACCGTTGCATAACACTCTCTTGTTGAGCCTGGACGAGGAAAAGAAATTAATCAACAACAAGATTAAGATTTGGGAAACAAAGAAGTCTGATAGTTTCCGCGAATAATTCCAAATTTATAACAAATACGTTCGAGGCTTGTTTAGTGTTACTAAACAAAAGTTCTGCTTCCCTACTTTGTACAAACGAAATTTCAGAATTCAAAAATAGTGTAACCAATGTTTGAATTTTGAGAGGAATTTTGCCACACAGGATGTGGCAATTTCTAAAAACAATGGTTGTAGGAAATTGAACTGGAATAATCTTTGTCTGTTTATTTTGATTGTACGTTGAATAACTGATTTATTTGATGACGTACATTTCATGTGAGCATGAAATATTCAATATTTCCGGACCGCAACATTTCATGCCTCTAACTTCAATTTGAAAAATATTCAACAATTTTTACTGGAATTAATTCCTTAGCCGTAGGAAATGGAGAAATTCGTCAAATCAAGTCCAAGTTTATAAGAAGCCCCTAAATTAAACGCTTCTCAGCAAAAAACATATTCCTAATAATGTTGACGAAAGATCATTAACTCTGTATTTTCAAAAGAAAACAAAATACTGAGTTCTCGAGTATTTACAGAGCAGATATTGTCACCGCTGCGATCAAAGACACAATGCAGCTATCAGTGATTATATAAAACTGAAGCAAAAATATCCCTCAGCTAATATCAGTGATCGCAAATATCTTAAAAGTATTAACACGACTTTAAACAGTTTAATGCCTAAGAAGTAATGTACGATTAATCGCTTGAGCATGTCACTGTATTGAACTCTGAGGAAGCTTTTCTTATCTTGCACCAGTGTTAGTTTTAATTCTAACACAGAGGACCAGCTTGAATCTTGCAGTAATGTAAGAAAACAAAAATCTATTTTTTGAAGTCAAAGTATTAACTCAGAGCTCTTGACACTGTTTGAAATGCGAGCGACCCACAGTCTAGATCAGATAAGGACTCCAAGTTTGGGAAATCAGCATGAATAATATTGATGTCAGAACAAATGACGACATTTCAGCACGTGGGCGTTTCATGTAGGCGTGATGCGTGGGAGTAACAAGCCATAGCGGCGTGCTAACCACTGAAAATAAACAAATCGCGTGGGTGTAATTCGTGGGCGTCGCGCGCGGTTTAAAGCTACCACCGCTTAAGTTATCGTGCCTCTACCTGCTGTGAAGAAACAAAAACTGCGGTTTAAATTGCACGAGCTGGGTAAACATTATTCCCCGTGACTACCTCCTGTAGCGATTACGCTGACAATGGAAACAATACGATATTAAAGTCAGCCATCTATCTTTCCAGAAACCGCCCACATATTCATAACATAACTCAACAACTCTGAAAGCTTTCCGTTGAAAACGCCATTTTCAACAGTGCGCAGCGTGAAAAACTGCCGGATCTAGTTACGATTCGAGTTGAATATAGTGCATATCTCTTCAAAGCCACAATTATTTCGTGATTTTCTCCCCAAAGACCAAAACGTGATTGATAAAACACAAACATTTTGGCCGCAACTGTTTTAATGTTGGCAGGGAACTGAAAAAAAAATTTAAAAACAGAAAAATAATATATAAGAACGTACAACGAAGTCATTGTCTTTTACATTTACCGATATAAAGGTACTTATTATCAATTCTGTCTGGAAACTCGAAGCCTTACTTTGTTTTACTCATTAAGAGGAAGTTTACTTAAACAGTCGCTAATTAATAAAAAATTAAGCCCACTAATTCTTGGATCAACTACAAAATTCCCTTCCACATGAATGCTTGTATGTCAACGAAAATTGCTTTGACTTTCACATTTGGGTCAGCTTCCAATATAAATCTCAGGCCATCCACAAAAACCATTCCTTCACCGTTTACAGTCTGAACAAGAAGCACCACCTGAAGTTTTCATGACAAGAATTTAAATCCCTTCTTGTGTAGAACGGAAGTCGATATGAATTATGGATGCACCCGTTTTTGGAGAGTGATGTGTGCTGTGTGCTGTGTGCTGTGTGCCAAAATGGTGGGTGTTCCGTTCAAATTAAAAGTTTTTCGTGCAAGTTTTGTTTTCCTTCACGAGGACTTTAAAAGAGAATATAATGATATTAATAACACTTATAGTGGTTTATCAAAAGTGTATCCATTGTGCCCGGTTTTTTGCCTGTTGACTAAAACTAGCTGATACCAATGACAAACAGAAATTACACAGAGAATAGAAAAGTAGTAACTACAAACGAGACTACAAATGAAAATAAAATGGAGTTGAAACTTTAACAGGGATGTATCTCCGATGTTAAAGAAAGAATAAACGAATAAAAAGCATTGATTTTATCAATTAAACGTTTACGTAATTGACAGCTAAAAATCAAAATAAAACAGACCTCTGTTCCATGTTGCAATTCAAATCTGTAAAAACAAGCCCACGAGTCGCCGAGATCTGGGTCGAGTTTGACAGCTCTGT